AGAAATTTGAAATTATTATACATCTGCATCTTAACGGCAGACGGATGAATTGTGCAAAAATGAACATACACTTAAGCTAACCTTAGCAAGTTCTGTTTGTAGCTAACAGATTCCATAATATTTTATAACATTAGGTATCAAATATAATGAATCTGACTGAGCATACTAGCTTTTATTGTAGATAAATAGCTTCTTTATCGCCATCAGGCATTAGCTTAATTGAATCAGATGAAAGTTACGCACCAAAAGTAATCTTGGAGTTATCTCCGGCCATTAATGTAAGCTGTTAAAGCAAACAGGTCATTATTGAAATGGATTCATTGACTACAAAACCATACAGTCTTATTGAAAATCTACAGAACAACACAAACAAACTGATCGTCTATCTCAATTTGCATTCATTTGGCCAATTTGCATTTATTAGTTGTAAGTAACTTGATGGCAAACAACAATGAATTCTATTAAGATCGAACTGTACCATATGGGAATAACACATCCACGAGTTTAGACATAAAAGTTGCTGTGTATCAAACTTGTTTTTGGTAATATAATCATCAACAGTTATGCTCGAAACAAAGAATTCAGAGGGTTAAGTACATAACTCAGAATGAGAATATAATCCCCCCCCTCCAACAAATAATTAAAATCAAATAAAACAGAACAAAAACAGCTTCAGAAATAAGAATGTTTATCTATACGATATAATCAATTCAAAGACTTTTATTTTAAAAAATGTTTATCAAACCAAATAACTGGAAATAAGTTTGAGTGTCTGATTAGTAGTTCTTCCTACTGACATGTGGAATTGTGTAACAATTTTGATCACTTCTGGCACACAAAATGATATTTGAAATATCGCGAGATTCACATGGTCGCGATGCTATAACGAGATGAGTTTGAAGTTTCTTAAGTTATTTATCAAACTCGCACAAGTCGTTGTTATTCATCTTTCTCCCCTGACCTCTATATCTTATTTTCAAAATTGTGGTTCAATGCATAAGATTCAAATGATTAAGTCAGAAGAGACGAGTAGCATGTGTGAAAATTTTACAATACAGCTGTAGTTTTAAACATATATATTAATAGATTATCAGTTTTCTTCTTCAAGAGATTCTATCTAGACAAGCTAATATATTTTCCTTCCTTTTCAACTATTTTTGTTTACATTTCAAAGTTTAATTCAAGCTTGGGAATATAAAAAAAACGAAAAACGTATGTTGGATATCCATGTTAGATCCTTATAAGGATGTGGAAGGCATTTAAGATAGATACTCAAGGACGTTGTTTTTAAGATTATTATGAACAAATCTTATTCACCGATCACAAACAGATGTTTTTGTATAATTCAAATACAAAGCAACACTGAAATGAGTTAATGCACAAGTACTTTAAATTGGATGTAGAATTTTAAAAGCATATACAATTGATGCCTATAAATCTTGATTTGCCTAGTAGATTTGATATCACTACACATAGCATCTCTAATTATATTTCTTTCCTGAAATAGTTTGAAATAATTATTGAGTTTCTACAGTCTGCATTGTTCACTCTTTGTAAAAAGGCACTGATATAGTGTAACAGTTCTACAGCACTTTTGTCAGTCGAGACTGTGGTCTGCTGACATTATTTTACATGTAGGATAAATAACCGTCCATTATTCGGCTAAATAAGCAATTTGTTCACTGGAGAAGTAATCTTTAAAGAGAAATTCTATCGGCTTTCAACAGGATAATTTCAATAATTAAAATTGAAAATATATATAATTCCAAATGATTGCTAGCCGCAAATGTTAAGCATCAAAGATTTGATACTCGTATTTTGTTTTTATTTCAAACGAAAAGGAAAAAATGCATGTTAAAATATTTTAAAAACCTCCTCGTCTTTCTTTACGTATTAACTGGTTCCATTAGAACAGCTATGACGAGAACATGAGGCATTATTTAAATCAAATGGCGTATAATAAATATTATCAAATTGAAGATGTTTTATTTGTTTTCTCTCTAAAATGTCCTCCGTCGGAACTATCAATAAACTGACATTAACATCATATTCCCTAAAGAATAAAAGCAGTGAATTTAAGACAATTACCGACGAAAATGAGATCAGTAACAATATAGACACAAATAGGTTACAAAGCGGGGGTGCTTTATACCAACCTTTAAAGGTATCATTAACTTTTGGAAATACTTGTAAACAAAATGATATGTCCATTGATCTCATTTGAGGCCCAAACAAATATCCACTCACACATTATGGTGACGCGCACACACACACACACTTATGATGTATACTTGTATTAAATTTCATTTGAATGTGGAGGAGAGAATTGAAGTTTTCTTTATCGAAAAGATAAATCGTAAAATAGAATATTAGTATTTATCTCTGAAATTGTTTAATAATATTCAGATTATTGTCAATCTTGTTAAAATGTTGCATCTCTCGGGTAATATCTTAAGGTAACAAATTATCAGGTTGTTACATTAATCGTCAAACTAAAGAATGTTCACTTTTTATCACAGGGATCCGTTATTAATAGCATCTTCATATTTTTCCAACAAAATATAATTGACTTTTTTTACAGTTCTTACAAACAAGACAAAATTAATGGCCTTTTTTGTATTCAGTGTTTGGCTGTTAGAGTTGTTTATTTTGATTCCAATTTTTTAAATTTTGTGTCAGAATAAAGATTCCCAAAAATATGCCATGGGTTGCTTTCACTATTGGTTATCGATCGAGAATACTAGCACGACAAATTAAAACAATACTCAAAGAACTGCATGAACTTAAAAACACGGGAATTGATTTTATTCTTCATTTTTTCTCTTCTTTTTTTTCCAATTATTATTTCTGTGGGCCTCGGTGGCCTTGTATAGTACGTAGTTTATCTACAGTGATCACTAGCCTGTAAACTCAGAGGATGTAAGTTCGAACCCTGATGTACGTAGTTTATCTACATTGATCACTAGCCTGTAAACTCAGAGGTTGTAAGTTCGAACCCTGATGTACGTAGTTTATCTACAGAGATCACTAGCCTGTCAACTCAGAGGTTGTAAGTTCGAACCCTGATGTAGGTAGTTTATCTACAGAGATCCTTAGCCTGTCAACTCAGAGGTTGTAAGTTCGAACCCTGATGTACGTAGTTTATCTACAGTGATCATAGCCTGTCAACTCAGAGGATGTAAGTTCGAACCCCGATTGTGACGAAGTGTGTTCGAACCCAGGTCGTGCATGACACAGTGTGTTCGACTCAACTATTAATTTTGCTAGTGTTTCTGCCGAAGGTCGGTGGACCCGTCCGGGTTCTCCGACTTCCGTCACGAACATTATAACTCAGTCTGCACGACCACCATGATAAATGTAGCTAAAAGTGTCGTTTAATACCAACAAACAAACATAGATTACATGTATTACAATCAAATGACATTTGAAAAAACAAGCAGACAAAGGTCATAGCGCTCATTTGCTGAATTAACATCTGTTTATGTATTCACATGTTATTATATTTTATATCACTGTACGGTTGATGATAATAAAAAAAATCATTACATCAGTTTATTTTAAGTAACGGTTCCGTCTCCCCTAGATTATAACTATTAGAACAAGAAAGTCCGAATATGTTTTTCTTTCATAGTTCTGAATTGTTATTTTAAAATGAATAGCCGCAGAAATCATTTCGACATTTCCAATAAGTCAAACCCACGTACAGATAAAAAAAACAATAATTCTTTTTCAATATAACAGGAAAAATAATACCATATGTTACCACAAATACAATGTCCTTCAGACATTTTTGGATCAACAGATTTATTACTTGTCTTTGTTATTTGACATTGGAACATATGTCAGCCAGGCTGACAAGTACAGTCACAGTGTCCTTGCGAATCTGCTGAAATTACAGAACTTATTTTGACGTTACTTTTTCGCTTTCGAATGTGCACCAACTAGATTCATAATAACAGAACACATGCTTACACATTTATCGTAAATTGTCACAAAAAAAAACAACAAAAAAACAACAAAAGAATGGCGAAATAAGAAAAAAATATGCACACAATATCGATCATTTTAACAACCGTCAGACAAAGAAGAAAAAAAAATACAAAAATAAAAATTAAGATTGATATCTTAATTTCTAGCCTGAGATAAACCTTTAATAGGAGGAATAAAGTGAGTAGTTCATTTTTGTTTTAAAAAAATCAAATTATATGACTAGTTTACCAGCCAACATATGTTAGCTAGGTTGGCAAGAACACAGGGGCCGTGTCAACGAACGGTCTTAGGACTAGGACGTGTCTTAGGATGGTCTTAGGGTACGTCTTAGTCCTAAGCCAGGTTAACGAAAGTCTCCTAAGTTAAAATATGTCCTAGATTTGGTCCTAAAATTAGGATATATAAATAGGTGTCTTAGGATGGTCTTAGGATAGTCCTAAAAGTTACGATGTCTTTAGTTGAAATAAAAACAACATATATGGCCGCTGTGTATGTTCATGTAAGACGACGAGCGAATAACATTCGCCGAAACAGAGTGTTAAGGGACAGAGACAATCCATTAGATTATTTGGACGATGCTGATATTGTTCGTAAATATAGACTAAACTGACTTTCTAGACCAAAGATTCTAGAACTTTGTGGAATGTTTCAAAATGAGCTCGCTAGGCCGACTAAAAGGTCCCATGCAATTCCTGTGCCATTACAAATAATGGTAGCCTTAAGATTTTATACAACTGGGAGCTTTCAACTGGTTAATGCTGATGTCCATCGTATTTCAAGAGCAAGTGTTTCGAATATTACACGTGACGTCACACAATGTTTAAAAAATGTTTGCAATCAATACATTTCGATGCCCACAGATCAAGCATCTCTTAAGGCAAGGTTTTTATGACATTTCAAATTTTCCAAATGTTATTGGTGCTGTTGATGGTACTCATGTGCGTATCGAAAGCTCAGCTGTTGATGAACACTTAAACGTAAACAGAAAGAATTACCACTCGCTTAATGTAATGGGAGTTTGTGACTTGAACTTGAAGTTTTTAAACATAGTGGCTAAGTGGCCTGGTAGTACAAATGACTCATTTGCGTTGCGCAATTCAAGGCTATGTGAAATGTTTGAAGACGGAGACATAAGCGATGGATGGCTTCTTGGGGACAGTGGATATCCCCTTCGACCTTGGCTCCTAACACCAGTCATGAACCCAACAACAAGACGGGACCAACGTTACAACAGTTCCCATATGAGAACAAGATGTGCTGTTGAGAGGAGTTTTGGAGTGATGAAATCTCGGTTCCGATGTATCGATACCACTGCAGGAACATTGTTGTACAGCCCAGATAGATGTTGTGACATTGTAGTAGATGTTGTTGTTCTGCACAACATGTGCATTGACAATAGAATTCCATTGCCTCCAGGAAACGATAATCCAACAGATCATGGAAATATTGGTGGGCAGCAATATATTGGTATTCAAAATGACGGTGCAGTTATTCGTACAAGATTGGTTAATAATAGATTCTACAATTAATAAAAAAACATATTCTTATCCTTCTTTTTTTAATCACTTATGGGTCGTTCATTGCATTTATTCTTGTATTCTGATACATGGATGACTGTCTCACTGACATGTAACCAATAAAATTTCATTTGGTGGTACAAAGGAATTTACCAATTTATAGGTGTAAAAGAAAGGACTCAGAAAGAATCTTAAGGGACACCCAAACTCACAAGTAGAAAACAAACTGACAAAGACATGGCAAAAAAAAAAACCTCCAGTGGAAAACATTACAAGCATATCACGACCGGAGAAAGTGCAAAGACAGGCACGATGAGCCGGATTTTTAACATGATAGTTCATTAGATAATACTTAAAGTTTATGGAAAGTACAATTCAAAAGAATAATGTCGAACCAATCATGTCGTCATCCCCCCCCCCTTTTCGCTCTGTCAAGAACTATAAGAAAATAAACAAATTACTTGTTTCGTCTGCTGAAGAGTAGGAACTCCTTCTTGAAGATGAACATGAAGGCATTGTCAAATCCATTGATGTTTCTGTAAAAGAGGCTGTATCCATACCTCCGTCTATTCCATCTATAGGTGTGTCTCCAATAATCCCTACCACCTGATCTTCCATCGAGGAAATGTCTTCTGGGGGAGGACCTCCGCCTGTCTTTCTTGCCTCACGTCTATTGTGTGCCACTTTCTTTTTTGCGTTGCTCGTATACGTTGTCCATTTCTTCCGAATTTCTTCAACTGTTCTTTGGTTTGATTTTTTTGATTTTTGGTGTTTTAACGCCACTTTTAAGCACCGCTTTTGGGCTAATTCGTGGCCGCCAGTTTTTATTGGTGGAGGAAGCCGGAATGCCCGGAGAAAACCACCGACCTTCGATAGGAAAACTGACAATCCTAGTCAATTAAGATTGGAGTCGAGTGCACCCGCACGAGCGGGGTTCGAACTCACAACCTCAGTGTTGACTGGCTAGTGATTACAGTAGTAACTACTTAGACCACTCGGCCCGAAATGTTCTTTGGTGGTGGGTATTTGAAGAATTCATCTTTGTACAAATGCCATCCCATGTCTTCTTCTGAATATTATTTGTCGCAACATTTGACAACTTGCTGAATAATATTCCCTTATGTTTTTTAACTTCGGCCAGCATAATATGAATTTCGATTTCGGAAAAATTTGGAGATCTCTTCTTGTTCATGTTGATTCAATATACGTAATGAAATCGAGTGGACCTAAGTACAAAACTAGTTTATATAGTTAAATTGCAGCACGACAATAGCCTCTAAAAAGTTTTGTGACAATTAATTTAATTGTTGAAAGAAATCTATTTTTTTTCATTTTAACAGTATATAATAATTTATCTATTAGTATATGTAAAAACCTTTTTTTGTGTATTTTATTTTCATAACAGATGAAATCCCCCCCCCCCCCAAAAAAAAACAACAACAAAAAACCGAACAAAAAACCTTTATATATATAATGAAATACATTAAAATCTATTTCATTTCATTCGCTACATATTTTATTAATTAAATGAATATGTTAGGATGGTCTTAGGATCATCGTAGTTAGGACTGTCCTAAGATAGCTTTGTTTTACATCCTAGGACATGTCTCAGATACGTCCTAAGACCATCCTAAATAATGTCCTAAGACATATCTTAGGATACTTTCATTGACACGGCCCCAGTGGTGGTGTTCTCGAAAGTATCCTAAGATTCGTCCTAAGTCATAGATAAGACCAATTTTAGGATGGACTTAGGATCATCTTAGGACACTCTTAAGTTGTGTCTCGAAGCTATCTCAGACGCATCTTATGTTAGGACGTCCTAAACATATCCTATATGCGAAATTTTAAATAGTTAAAGTAATTGTTTGATAAAACATTTATCAAAGGCCAAACCAATTAATAAAATTGTTTACGAAATTTTAAAATTACATGTATTTAATTAAATGCATGATTTCAAATGTAATTATAAAATAATATCAAAAAGGAATGTGATTTAAACCGGAAAACAATTTGTTTTGAAATGAAAATATTTAATTCGTAGTGTCATCGTATCGTAAAACACGAAGTTCAAAGTTTAAAATCATGCACAAATTCTTTAAACGAGTTAATAACCGATGGTGCGTTTCATTTCATGTTCATCTTCACGTAAAAAAATGAGAAAAAAGCATGCACAAAGTTAGGATGAAGATATGATGATCTTAAGACACCTAATTAGGTGTCCTAAAGTTAGGACGAAAAATGTGATATATCCTAAGTTAAGAGAGCTTCGAGAACACGACTTAGGACAAAGACTTGTCGTAAAATGGTCTTAGGACACGTCCTAATCCTAAGATAGCTTCGAGAACACCACCCCAGGACTTTAAATATTCAGCGCTTGACTTTAATTCTACAGTACTACAGTTTTTTTCAAATACAAAGGTTAAGTTGTTCTTTCAAACACAAAGGTCAAATACAGAAATTACGTTGTTGTTTTAAATACAAAGGTTGTTTGTTTTTTAAATGTAAAGGTAAAGTTGTTCCTTCAAATAAAAACGTAAAGTTGCATCATTAAGTAATTTTGCTATAATCATTACGTACAATTGAGTTGTTCCTAATTTGGGATCTTCATCAGCACAAATATGAGAATAAATATGGGGATGGCATGGTATTTGTTAATTCTAAGTCGTCAACCATTGTATAAAGGAAGGATTTGGCCGAATTTATTTCCTGGAATAATCTTCATCAACAACGCTCAATAACAAAACTTGGCCTTCATTTTTTTTACAATGGTTGATTATAGTATTAATAAAAACCTGTTTATGAAAACAATATTAAATTTTAGACCTTCTGGTAAACTGTAATGTATATTCTCTGAGATATAATCCTTTGAATTACCAATATTATGAACCTCTCGCGAGACTTCAAAGAATTGATATATTATATCTTTGCCCGAGATTGCGCACTTACAGCTATTTCAGTGGTATTTTTTTTATAAAGTTATGAAGCCGAGCAAACAATGTTGATAAATGTTCAAGGTTTATTAAATTGAGCAATCAAACCAGATATATTAAATTGATACCTGTAAGCAATGGTGCAAATAAAGGTTCTGCTGCTTTAATTGTATTCTGAAGGGAATGCATGATGAATAGAAGGCTAACGGCGCCAGTTATAAATACCATTAACGGCGTATAAAACACAAGTACACATATACTGTAAATAGTGGTTTAATATTAGATTGAACGCATTACAGACAAACTGTCATCTGTTATCACCATTTTGGAATGTATCAAATGTATGCTGCCACGGGAAGTGTCATATTACCAGGCCTTTAAGCATCCGTGATAAAAGAAAATGACTATAGCATAAAAATGTAACACAAGTAATCTGTAAAAGATATAAGAAATATTTTAAAATATTCCCAGTGGGTTTGGTATTATACATGTAGCATGCATCTAGATATATAAATTAGAAATGCATAATAAACAATCATAGATCAAGAGTTACTGTGAGCCGAGCTTCCAAAAATTCTATTGCTTCCCCTTCATTCATGCATGTTAGGGGTCGTATTATTGTAAAGTTTAGAAAAAAAAATCTCTTTTTACTTTAACAGAATAAGCAGATGCGATATTCTTTTTAAAAAAAAATTCAAATGTACAGCGAAGAGGAATTTTTTATAATTCTTTCAAGAAATACGTTTGTTCAATTGTAGTTAACACATGCATACTAATCAAACAATTATTCAGCTTTCCTACCTTAACAGGCGTTATGAAAACATCTTTCTATGGAAATTATATTAAGACAATGTCCTTGCATCTCAGTCGCCAAACTATTATTCAATTGTCACTATGAGGCTTCACATCATCAACTTCCTCCATAGAGTAAAAAGAGGCCTACATGAGTATCAGCATTGTAACAGCTTCGTGTTATCATCTATATTTATTTTACACAGTTTAAATTCATAATTAAAAGAAAAGAAAAAAAAAACACCAATCGCTCTTAAAAAGAGGTGGAAAATACAAAGTGAACATTCAAAAACTAATGGGTCGAGAGAAACTGACAACGTAGTGTGAAATATGAAAGACAACGAACTGCCAAACAAAGTTCACAAAACGCTACATAAAAAACTAAAGACTGAGCAACACGAACCCCACAAAAATCTCATGTGCTCCGAAAGGGTAATAATATGCTGCGCCACTATAGCGCTCGTCGTGTTACTTATGGAAAATACATATTCGGTGATGAGTCTCATTCGGTAATGAAAAGTTTCAATCACTCCCAGCTTAAAGCTTTTAATTACATGAATTTTAATGACTTTTAAACCAAAAAAACTATTTTCTACTTGGAATTTCCTCAAAGATATGAATGCTATATAAATATGTTTTTGAATTTAATAATATAATAAAGTTCTTTGCATTCGAAGAGGGTTTTTTTAAGGATAACTTACAGCAGAATTCTATAGGCGAAATATCGGAAAAACCAGAATTTCAAAAACAAATAAAAGGATTCAAAAGGAGCAAAAAACGGACTGCAGTAAAATTGGTAACATTATACAACATTGAAGCCATTTATCAACTGAAATTTCCAAAACTGAGACGAACAAAAAAGGGATAATGAATACATTTGTACATGTAATATATTATACCAGTGCACAAGGACTGATCTGCATGCCAACTTAAAAGTTAATACCATCGGGGACTAACAGTCAGTACTAAATAAAAGGCAATCAATAGCAAAGGATATTGGACTACAGTGTCTCTGAAGTAGGCGGTCATTGTGCAATTCATTCACGTTTTCTTATAAATGTTATGTAACATTCTTTAGAAAGATATATACAAAGTTTGCACAAAATATTTTTGGCTGTCTGCAACTTTGTATGCGATAACACGTGACAAAAATCTTAAACCGAGATCTGTTGTATGCGATAACACGTGACAAAAATTTTAAACTGAGATCTGCTGTAAATAGTTTTATACAAATAATGAGTCAATCTTGAAATCTAAAAACGACTATGACATAGGTTGCACCCTAAT